GGGGAGGGGACGGGCCGTCGCGGCATCCCGCTACCCCGCCCCCAGGCCGTCGGGCCCCCGGGCGGTGCCGGGACCGCTGCGGGGCGGGCTGCGGCCTCTCTCTGCAGCGTCCCGGCAGGGGTTAGGGGGGTGGAAGGGGGAAAGGGCGGGGTTTTCCTGGCGAGCTCCACACAAAAGGAAAACCCCGCCGCATCGCTGGGGGTGGCGGCCAAGGCTGCCTTTTGGCAGCCCGCGGAAGATGTCGGCGCTGAAGCATCCCGGCTGGAGGCAGGCCCCGGGGGTCTCTCCCTCCCAGCCCCCGGAATGCAGCGGGAGCTGCAATGGCGGGGTCCCTGGCGAGGGAGGAGGGTGTCAGTGCGGGAGCAGAACGCTGCGGGCTCCAGGCTGGGTGCCCGCCCTGTCCTCTGTGCCCGTGCTCCCTCTGCATTTGGGTTTTAATGGATGAGCACGCTTAGAATACAAACCTCATCTGCTCCCACTTCTCCTAAAGGAGTGGCCAGGAAAGGGAAAATACACGTCTGGCCTGTGTGGGCGTGCAGGAGGGGACTCGGCACCATCTTTGCTAGCGGGTTTCATTGCCTTTGTATAACAGTAAAGGAACCGATTGGTGGTTTTGTCTGTTCCCTTGGACCAAAGCGATGCCCCATGGTCACGGGCAGCCTCACAGGACGGCACAACCCAGTTCCTATGGTCTGCTGAGGGTGGACGTTACCTAGCATTTCTGAAAGTGCGTGTCTAATAGAACCCCTCCCTGCTCCCTGTGAGGGGAGCAATGCGGTTATAAGCCTCTCCAAGGATGTCATTTCACAGTTAATGCAAGCCAGCCTGTGTCTGTATTGCCACCAAAAGGGGCAGTCCTGCCTTCCTCTCTGATCGTGGCTGTGCTTTCCTCTTTGTTATTTTCACGGCAATAACACTTATGTTGCCATCTGGCAAGGCAAGCCTGGGATCTGATCCGGTGGAAAGCCGGTTCCAAAAAAATTACCAGAGTTCAGCTGGATCAAGTTCCTGAACTAGCTGACCCTGCGGAGCTGCCGCAGGCACAAGGAAGGAGAGGAGATGCGGAGGCAGGAACAGCCCATTGACATCCCAGCGGATCTGAGCTGCGTTTCTGCCTGCAGTTGCACCACTGCAGTGAGTCCTGCCTGCTGGAACTGCCTCGTGACGGCTCTGAGAGTGTCCCACCGATGGTGTGATGGAGTGATCTTGTGATCGCTCCTGATAATGACACAGGATATCTCCAGAAAATGTCAATTGTAGCTACCATAAGGTAGCAGCATGAGGGTGTATCTCACAACAAGATTCTCAGAAATGTTAACTGACACAAGTGAAAGAGCGGGGATTGAAACTAAAAACTCGGTATGCCTCTTAAACAATACAGCATGTGTGAATGTGTCACTCGTATATCTACAGACCTTGCTTCCCTCAAAATCATGTGGAGATTCTTATGCCTTTGTGAGTATTTTAGAACTGGGGCCAAAATCGTGATGAATTCATAACAGCTGCAAATCTGGCTTCCCCTTTTTCCAGATTTCTTCGAACTTGCCTGCCCATGACATCAATTCCTGCTGGTTTTTCACATACCCAAAAGGATAGATGCTATGCAGACCCTACAGAGCTCAATGCCTCTTGGGGAGAGCAGATCACAAGCAGCCTGCTCCCAGCACTGCCATAATATCCCTTCCCACAAGACTATGTACCTCTTATCACATTAGGCAACACATTAACTGCTTTGTCTGAGTATCATATCCCCCAGCTAGGAAATTGTGACACGGAGGAGGCTGGTTATTTAGTCATAATCTCTGTTTGGTTTAGGATTTTTTTTCCCTACCCCTTTTATTAGTAATGCTTGAGTTGGGTGGGGCAGCTTCCCAGTGGCAGAGGGTGCTGTCCTGGTTTGAGCGACACAGGATTAATTTCTCTTTCGGTAATTTCGCTTTTCAGTAAGGTCTCTTCTTGAGCTTGGGAAAACTCCACTCTTAGAAGACTCTAATGTCTGTAATTTGTAATTAGTTTATAGCCAGCTATGGTACGCGGGTTTCAAGGTCCCAGTGTTTTCAAGTTAAGCGAGGTGCAGGGATGAGGAGGGGGAAGACCCGGGCACTTGACCCAAGCTGGCCAACAGGGTTATTTCACACAGTGAATATCACATTCAATACAAATTAGAAAGTTTGCTGAGGAGTTCTCTCTCTTCCTTGATGGCTGCAATCCTGAGAACTCCTTGCCCCAGTGCTGGATCCCTGAGCCCTTCCCTTCCTCTGGAAGCTGTAGCGGTGTCAGTGTCCCACATTTGCTGTCCACTGCTGGGAGTGCACAGCTCCCTGCTGATAGAATGGGCTGGGTATGATCCTTGTGTATCTTATATAGGTATTGGGATCAATGTTGGTTCCTTAGTGTTATTATTGTTAATTATCTATTCTCATTGTATTAAATCTGTTTATATTTTAACCCTCAGGTTTCCGTGTTTTTTCCCTGATTCCCCTTCCTGGGTGGGGAGGGGTCATCGGGTGATAGAATAATTGTCTGAACGACAATAAATTTTTGTGTGTTCCTCAAACCATAACAGGTGCCCACGCTACTGCTGACGTCCCTTTGAAAAGTAGTTGCTCGGCACCATAGTAATACCAATGTCACACTTGTTGGACCTCTCTGAGGGGAAGTTTGGTAAATGTTGGTCTACACAGTTTGCCAAGGCACTTAGCAGTAAGTGAGTGGGACAGTAGGAAGAGAGACACATTTCCAGGTTCCTAGCCCTGCATGCCAGGTATATGTAAGGATCATAGGATCATAGGATAATTCAGGTTGGAAGGAGGTCATCTAGTCCAACCAGACAATCAGAAGTTGATAAACTTCAAATAAGGCAAGAGAATAGTAGCTGTGAGTGTGAAATTTCATAGCCTTTCCTATTGCTGCAGCCAGACAAACTCCGGCAAATCTGGATGGAGTGATGCAAAAAATACTGCTTCCCTGACCATCTATTCCGCCTCCTTACTGAAGGTTCCTGCCTCCACAGCAGTCCCTGGATTGGAAAACACTAATGTTTCTAATCTATTTTCATACCAAATATGACATTAAAGTCATCTTTATCAGCAGTTTCGGCTAATTTGCTGGACTTTGTATTGAAGCAGCTGGGACTAGGGCATGTGTTTCATTCCACTGACTGCTGTGAGGCAGCAATCTCGGGCAAAGAGAAGGTAAGAAATTTCTGGGAGGCGGTGGCCACTGAAACTCGTTCTGCTCTGAGTAGAACATATATTCTCCCAGATTACATCTTCTTATTTTTTGATAGAGGCTATAAAGCTAGCGGTTCTGGATAAGACATGATGTTGGTGGGTGTCAGCGGCTGTGGTTAGGCGGACTCCACCTGTGTCGGTGGCGGAGAGCATTACTCACAGCCAAACCCCAGAGACTTATGCCCCTTTCCAGCGATCTGCAAATCTGCCAGCAGAGCTGATTGTGTGCCCTCTCTCTCTGATTTATTCTAGTCAGTTCAATCAGAAGCTGATATAAATTAATGTAACTCTTTTGCCGTGAACATTTGATTTGGTTCAAAAGTGTCTCTTCAGCTAGAGTAATTGCAGACACTACCAGATAAGTCTAAAGCTATCCACTTTCAGGGTCTGTGTCAGATTAACAAAACTGTTTTCTGAATTGATTTGGTTATCATTACATAAATTCCGTAGACTGTGTCTAACTCAGATGGCTGGCACAGGCTGTTAGCACAAAGTAGCAGCGAGCTTCATTTGTAACCTCCTCCCACACACAAAGTTCTTCAGGGGAAGGTTGAAAACACACGATATGTCTATGAATTATGAACTGCCCTTTGCTTTTGTCTTCCCTTCCCCTCACAATTATATTTAACTAGACTGCAGGAATTACTGTGCCTTCATAATAATCTTTAATGCTCACATGCAAACATAACTCTTCACCGAAGGTCTTAACAGGCTACGTTCAGAAATGCTGCAATAATGGAAGGTGAAAAACAACAGGGAAGCAATAGGGAAAAGAAGGTGCATGTTGCATATTCATGGACATTAACCTTCCGAGGGAAGTTATGCACAACTCAATAAAGGCATCAGTAGACACAGTCCGTCAATTTTCATGCACCCATAGTAATTGTTCTTCTGCTTAGGTATTTTTATGGTTATGGTATATATTAGTATGACACATCCGCCAATTTCTCTCCTAGGAAAGAACCTCGGAATCTGAACCTTGAGAAATTGTGATGGAGTGGCACCACAGAAGGATTTAGTCAACATCTTTCACAAAAGGTACATCTCAAAATGCTGTGAATTGTTAATAGAGAACAGTTCAAGGGACAGTAGTTGATTTTCAAATGAAATTTCAGTTAAGCCAGAAAGTGAGAGTAGGAATGGACACGGGTGGTTGCATTTATCAGGTCAGGTGTAGACATCTGTCTTGTAGAACTTTGCCTCTGAGTTAATGTTCCTCTAAGTTTTTTCATGGTAGAGAGACACGTACTTCGGGGATACAATTCCCACTTTGACCAAGGTGGACTGTGCCCTCAATGTGTTTAATTTTTTCCAGTTTTATCAGCATAAATATAAGTGTGTGCACTGTAGATGCCCAAAGGTAAGTGAGAAGAGTCCCACCGGTTGTGTTTGTTGCATCATTAGAGCCATAGAAAGAGAAAGCTGTCATGGCAGTTATGACTAGATGGATTAAAGTTATGAAGAACAAGGCAATGCCAGATTAACGGAAAATACAGGTAGAAAAGATTTTTGAGATGGGTTGAAGCAGGCCCACAGTAGGTTGAAGAAATCAGTTCTTCTGCTTTGAGTCTTTAGACAGAAAATAGAAGAATTAACAGGAACTAGGATATTGTGTTTGTTTTCTGTGTATACTTAACATGCAGAAGCATTTTGCATATGTTGGAGCATTCGTCTGGAGAAAGAATAAGAAAGTAGCTCACAGTAGTCAGAACAAAGAAGACTTGGACAGAAACCTAGGAAAAAGTTAAGAGTCAGGCCTAGGGATCTGTGTGTCAGCAACTGTTAAGTGAAAGCTGGGACAGGGAAAGGAATGATCATTTTTCACATCGTCCCATTCCTGCAACAGACCACCAGAGTGGCAAAGTTCCCTTTATCTGTCTGCTAGAGTTCACAGCTAACAACAAAGCTCCTGCCATGCACAGAAAAAGGTTTGGCAGCATAACTCTTTCATGGTAGGGTGTGAATTTTAGGCTGGTTTGCTAAAGATGCAGCACTTCAGGAGTTGCACACTGTCCTGCCGCAGTAATTCTGAATTGGCCTCATTGGCCAATTTTAACAACGTTTGCAAAAGGGTGGAGGTCTTTATGGTGACCGAGGTCGTTTTAGCTTCCTTGTTAAGTAGCGTGGTAGAAAAGATGGGCTCAGCTGGTGCCCGGGCTGAGCACAAGGTAGGCAGAACTTTGCTGTTAAAGATTTCAGGTGGCACCCAGTCTGCAGGCATGACACAACCGACAGCCCCTCGCTTAGTGCTACTTGCAGCACCTAATTCTGTGCTGGGTTGTGATACCATGTGTGACCCATAGGCAGCTGTTTACTGAAGGGATGAGGGGTAAGTAGAGGTGGATGCAAAACCATAGGACACTAGGCTTTGATAGTTTGAACGAAACAGTTACAGCAGTTGAGCCTGTTAACTCAGGCCCAGGCATTAATTTTAAATCCTGCTGGAGTATATTATTCTACTTCCCCTGTAGATATTTCTCTGACTTGAAAGCAACAGTTTCAAATAAGGGAGCTGTTGGGCAGCTTTTAGCACACAATGTTTAGATGCCCAAACCACTAGAATAAAAAACTCGCAGTCTAATACATATTAATGGTTTGCCCGGCGTTTTTGATTTCATAGGCATGTTAGTTCCAGTTCTGCAGTGTGAGATATTAGAAGATGAATTGTCTTTAGCAATCCTGTCCTGTAAACACATTCATCCTGAAGAGAAGATAGCTGCATTTAAAGAGCATTCTTTAATGTATTGGTAGTCCTTTCCAGGACTATCTCAAATAGCCCTCTGAATAGTGCTGTGATCAATGGCATTGAAGGTGATTATGTTGGAGAAAGGTGCACTGAAAATTAGTGTTTTGGTGCGTGCCTAAGTATCAAGACTCTGTGGGGCAGGAGGTAAGCACACCAGAGGCCGTGCATCTACACTGGAAGAACAACTTGTGTCATTTATGAGTACCTTCTAAAACCCCCATCACTGAATGTGTAAAATGTTCTGAGTAGGTAGGAGCAATGTAGTAAATGGCAAGATATAATTACAGATGAAGTTTAGCCAAAGTTCCTAATTGAAAACTTTAAAAAAATGTTTATGGAAAGCAAGAAAGTTAAATAAGGTAGGCTGGTCGTCATTGTGAAGAATCTCTTTTCCCTTTCTGGTCCCCTAATGCGATTACTATAGGGAACATGTAGTGGTTTCCATGTGAACAACTTAATCTGGTTCATATTTTGAGACTAAAATTGGGAATCCTTTTTTAACTTCAAAATTTGGACTGTATTTGGACGATGTGCGTTTTGTTAATGTTGTTCATTTATCTAATAAATGAGAAACATGATTGTGTCAGTAGAGGGTCAGTAGCACAAAGAACAGTATCTCATAAAATAACAGACATCGGTATCACAACTTTGGTTAAAAATATTTTAAATTATTGTAACATCTCTTTCACATTCTCGGGGGGAATATTCACTGCCTACGTTTAAACATCTAACTTACATGCCTAAATTAGGAGGCTTGTCTCCCTAGATGCCGTGCATAGTTGAAGGAGTGAGAGAGGCTCCTCCAGAGAGCAATTCAGACTATGTTAGTTAGGCTTCTGCTCTGAATTATCATCTGGAGGAGCCTCTTCAACTTTGAATGCTGTTCTGTGCTATTCTTTGCATCTTTTCCTTGGCAACAAAACTGACTTAACTGGTCTCCACCCCTCAACACTTGCTCTTGCCCTCTGCTTTTGCTCATCCCTCTGTGTTACTACTACAGCTGTTGATGTGGTGGCGCCATCAGCTAGGTTGGTGGAATCATCTGGGTTAAAAGGAACCCTGAAAAGAAGGTGTTACTGTTAACCTAGGTCACCTCTCTGATCTGGTTTATTGCATGACCTTGAAAACAGTTAAACCTGTGTATCCGAGGAAGTGTTGAGCTTTAGCAAGAGGCAGAAATGAGCTGTTGAACTCAAGGACCTGTTTGCCAAGTGTGCCACCAAGAAAAAGATACATTCAACTTCAGGATGTAAGTTAAGGAGACTAAGTCTTGTATCTAAGCATCGTTCTGTTCAAGTGCATGATTTTTATACCATTACAGTTTACAAATATCATGGAAGTTTATTATGGTTTGCATCACTGTAAGAAAAAGATAATCTAGCCTTACATCTCTGTTACCCATGTAAAAATGGTCATAATTTAAACAAAATAACTTACAGGGTTTACAAAACTGCAGTCAACTGAGTAACTGCAGTTGCTTACTGCCGTTACTAACTGAGTAGCTTAAGACATTCCTTACCAAGAGCTGTTAATGTTTCCACAGGCAAACTGGATGCAGTTTACCTAAGTTGAATGGTTTACAGTGCAGACATCTGCATGTGAGCTACTTGACTTAGATTCTTTTAAAAATAATTGGAAAATCTGGCGTTTTAGATGCTGCTTCCTATGAACTGCACGAGATATTCATATTAGTTACGAAATATCTGCATTTGGCGGTGCAGGGTCTCCTTGTAGATATAGAAATGCAGGCTGCAACAAACGAGGTTCAGTTACCTTGTGTACTAACCTCTACAGCCACTCACACTCAGCTGCACACGTGACAGACTAAAACTTCATTTTCTGATTATTAAGAGCCATTCTGGTACAGAGGGATTTGGTGCCACCAGTGATCACCACTGGGACACTTTTCCGGTCTCTGGCAGCTAAGATATTTCATGCCCAGAGAATTTGTGGATGTCCCATCCCTGGAAGTGTTCAAGGCCAGGCTGGATGGGGCTTTGAGCAACCTGGTCTGGTGGGAGGTGTCCCTGCCCATGGCAGGGGGGTTGGAACTCCATGATCTTTAAGGTCCCGGCCAACTCTAACCATTTTATGATTTTATGATTCTATGTTGTTACAGAATTAACTATCCTGTTTTAAAACAGTATTCTGTTAAAACAAGCATATATTAGGAATGCTGGCCACAAACCAATGAAGTGAGAGAACTGGTAATAGTTTTTTGTAGTTATTAATTTTTACATGGCATCTCGTGCTGCTTTTTAAAGTTCAATAGTCATTAGGTAGGCTTCTTAATAACATGAGAAGAGATTGTTTAATTATATTTATCTGTGACCTTCCATAGCTCAACCTGTGTAATTGCTTCTTTTAGCTGAAGTACTCACCTCTTTCTGGTCCTTCTCCTTGAAAGTAAGAATGAAAACATTTCTAAAGAATCAAGTAAGGGAGAAGCTAAAATCCTCAAGGAAGCATAGCTGAAGCTATATGCTAAGCTGGAGCTAAACCTATATATGCTGTTGTTTTTTCTTGTCTGCGTTTCCTCATCCAATCATTTTTCATATCACCTAACAGACAAAAAAAGAAGGGAGAGGGGAAGTGTTGTGTTTAATTTTCATGCTCGATGCATTTTTAAATGTAATGAAGTTACAAAATGAGCCTGCCGTGGTTTAACCCCAGGAGGGAGCTCAGCCCCACAGCTGGGAGCTCACTCCCTGCCCAGTGGGATGTGGGGGGGAGAAGTGGAAGGGTAAAAGTGAGAAAACTCGTGGGTTGAGATAAAGACAGTTTAATAGATAAAGAGAAAGCTGCACATGCAGGCTTCCCATTGGCAGGGAGATGATCAGCCTTCTCCAGGAAAGCAGTGCTCCATCACACTTAGGAGTTGCTTGGGAAGGCAAATGCCATCACTCCGAACATGCCCCCTTCTTTCCCCCCCAGCTTTATATTGCTGAGCATGACATCTATGGTATGGAATATCCCTGTGGTCAGTTGGGGTCAGCTGTCCCGGCTGTGTCCCCTCCCAACTTCTGCACTTCCAGCCCGCTGGCTGGTGGGATGGTGTGAGGAGCAGAAAAGGCCTGGACTCTGTGTGAGCACTGCTCAGCAGTGACTAAAACGCCCCTGTGTTGTCAACACTGTTTTCAGCACAAATCCCAAACATAGCCCCTTACAGGCTCCTATGAAGAAATTTAACTCTATCCCAGCCAAAACTGGTACAAAGCCTTCAGTCTTCACATCCTTTTACAGTGGAGAAATAATGTATGATGAGGGTACTTGTGCATAAGAAAATAGAAGA